CCGACGGGGTAGTTGGAGATTGGCGGCCGCGCCAGCCGCAGGGCGGTGGGGACTAGGAGCGGGAGGAGCTCCTTGAGGGCGGCGACTCCCGCCGTCTTGGCCATCGCCTCGGCCTCCTGCGCCGCGATCACGAACTTCCCACTCTCCATCTTCTTTCTTGGTAATTAAGAATCTGATAGAACCCCAAAATAGAACAAATAAGAGGGAGATTTGGTGTCATCAGACATGCTATTTATATGCTTCGAAAAGAAAAATGTTGAAACCTCTTAGATCATGGTTGGTTGGTGGGGTAGTGCAAATAATTGAATCAAATAATGGTAGTCTATCTACGTCTGTCTTAATAATTGTGGCATGCTTATCTTGTTTCTTTCTCGTCAACCACATTGCTCGTTGATTAATGGTAGACTAAAAAGATATCCTCATACGGAAAATGTACCGAGGGAATGGTCCACGGCTTGGTTGCTTTAGCGCTGCTCTCCTAATTGAGTGCTTCTTTTCTCTTCTTTTGGTTGTGGTGGATTGTTGTTGAGACCTTATCACCGGTGACGCCACCAACATCTGATGAGGATGGGCGAAGGATGCTTCACCTCTTGCTACACACGAGTAGTCGTTTCTTCGTTGATCGCGCGACGGTTTGTGCATGCAATGGGGAGGAGAAGTAGCGTGTGCTTTCTGGCGCCATGATCGGGATATGGTTGGCTGAAGAGGATTTCCACCACTCGACCAACGTGACACTGCATAGGATTCGCACTTAGCAAATGGAAGGAGGCTTTCCGGTGATTAGAATACGGTGCCATGCATTATTGGATGGTTTGGTGATCGTCCGACGAGGATGACAACGAAAGAACATAGAAAGTGCCAACCGCGAAGCAGCATGAAGGGCTTAGAGGATATATACTGACTTGAGCTTCATCGAGGTCGTGCATTGCTCCGATGTCATCATCTTCACCATTTGTTTTTCGAATGACTCCTTCGCAAAACTGGTGCTTCTTCTGATGAACACTTTCCCTCTGAGGCCAAGTGGAAGCTATTGCATGGATCTTTTCACTCGTTTAAATATTTCGTTGATAATATGTTTGCCATCGAATAGATTAATTAGCTTGCAATAGCCACCTTCATATACAATATTGCAAGTTATGAGTTGTGATAGCTTATGTTGATAGTTGACCTCCGGAGATGCATACTGCCAATTGTAACTTGAAGATTTTGACCTTCCAATTAGGTAAATCTGGAAAATATAGGAACACAAATCACAGAATTAATGCGCATCGGAAAAGTTGATTGACACTAGAGATGAACGTTCATATTAGAAAGCTTGGTCCTCGGCCAAATCAAACTGTCGAAGCTAGCAAAGAAGTCACTCGGCGGCTTCTCTAACGATGTATCAGAGCAAGTAGCGACGTCGGCATCGACTGTAAGTAGCAGGAATCTTACCGTTGCTTCGGCTCTTCTGATGAAGCGCGAGAGCTCATCAAAGCTTCCGCATACTTGGTTATCCGAACAGTCTCAGGTTCTCCTTGGTGAAACGAATCATCTTGACCGATCGTAATCGTATTGCCGTCTCCAGTGACCCTCCTTCTGTACTCAAAGGAAGTACCTAGGTCGCTCTTACAGCGTGTGCTCTTGCCCTCTTCTTCTAACCTGGGTCTCCTTTCTCCCGGAAGATTGAAGGGGGATCTGAAGGCAGCTCGAGACCAAGCGGTGTCATCAGTTTTCGCCAGATGACCGGTCAATGAATGCTCCTCGGTGAAGCAAGAGGCGATGCTGTCGAAAGAATTTCTTCCGGTCGCCTCGTCGAGGGAACTTCGTCTCTCGGGAGTGGCACAGCTTGAAGGATTTATTGCAGGAGTTCCGTCAACCGAAGCAGCTTTGTTGTTCTTGCTGCCTTTTCTTAGCACCAACTTCTTAAGCTTGCCAAGGAATTTTGGTTTACGTGAGGTGATGATGTCTTTTATCACAAACGGAGGAGTATCATCACCCTCACCAGTCGATTCCAGAGACGAATAGTCCGCTTCGAGGTCCCTAAAACTCACGCCTCTATCATCCAAACCTGCACATGCGTACTCAAGTATGAGTCGTTTGGCTTTCTCCTCTGATTCTGGACTCAAACTGTTGCTAAGATCCTTGGCTATCGTTTTCCCGGGAAGCGGATGATGATCCCTCTGGTCATACCTTAGGTAGGCATTGAGCCACCTGAGGTAGACCAGTTCCTCGACGTCCGTGCAGCGATCGGTTTGAAGTTGCTCGATTTCGTTCTTTAACTTCTCATTTGCTTCCCTCAGTAGGTTGACTTCCTCTACAGCTTTTGCCTGCATGATATTGGTGATGGTTAAGATCATTTTTGACCAACTCTGGGTGATGATCAGCGGTCTCCAAATAGACAGAATCTTATGAAAGGAAACATAATAATAAAGCGGTAGAAGACATCCTTGCAGACCAGATAGAGTATTCTATTTAAATGATGCGAGACCAAAATACTAATCTCTAGAGAGGAAACAGTTGATGACGCAAATAAAATAAATCCAAAGCTAAAAGAAATGAAATCACCTGCACTCTATCAAGGGTGGTGGAGATGGACGATTCTGCGGACTCCAGCCTTCGTGCCAAGTCCAAGTTTTCCTGTGTCAGCATCGAATTCTCCTTTCTCAGTACACCAGCTTCGTCTTCTAACTCCTTTACCCTCTTCAACTTGTTCTGCTCCTCGGCTTCGTCTCGACTCTCTCTGCGCTTTATAGCATGCATCAAGCTGATCCTCTTCTCCAGAGAGCTTATCTTCTCCCTCGCCTGCACGTGAATATATTTCTGTCTCCTCTTGAGATGCTTCACTCTTGCTCTTGCCAATCCAAGCTCTCGCATTGTTCCGGAGAACTCTGACGCCTCAAGTTTGAGCCTTAGGTTCTCATCCATCAAGGACTCGACCTTCAGAGACAAACACTTCGCCTCTACCGAGTTTAATTTCAGCTGGTTCTCGAGTTCTTTAACGGCAGCCTCCTGCAGCTCCTTCAATCCATAATACTCGAGCATTTCCATCTCAAGGCTCCTGTTCCTGTCCCAAAGAGCCTGCGCCAAGTTGCTTAGGTACACGATTTCTGCATCCATTTTCGCCTTCTCGTTCTCCAACTCGATGCTGACAGGTTTCTTGGGACAAGAACTCTCTGATTCTTGTTCAGCTTCCTGCAACGGAAGTCCCTCTTCATCCCGTGAACTTGTAGCGGACTGTTCAGTGTCGTCGTCGCTTGTGGTCGCAGTTAGAGCAGTTTTGGTGACGCTGCTGGGCTTTGTGGAGGTGCCATGGATGATGTTCGCCAGAGCGTCTTTCTTTACAAACAACAATACTAATCAGACTATTAGAACGGCTAAGAGGACGTGTATAAACTATGTGGGAGTAATATTTGGAACAGGGGCTCCATTCTTACATTTTGTAGAAATAGTAGCCCATCTTTTAGGCCACTTCCAAAACATATGTGTGCAGCCATGCTATATTTACGACCCTTTTTTGATTCGTCTCCTGCTATTACAACAAGAAATACACAAAATGGGAAAAACAATGCCAGAAGGAAATCATCATGCATCAACTGTGAAGAAAAAAGTAACGGAGGTGCGAACCAGCAGCGGCTGAGGTCGGGAACTTGAGAAGGGAAACGAGGTAGCTGGATAGGTGGACGGCCAGAGCGACGCCGAGTCTTGGAAGCAGAGGTCTGCGGTCCTCCATCTCCATCTCCAACAACAGCTTCATCATCCCCAACCCTTTAAAACACTAATGGTTATCCCGTACGTCTTCGTATAGCCAGTGATGAAACATGTATATACGATGGAGGAGAAGAATCAATAGATGAAGGAAAGCAAGTAGTCGGTGGTGTTGCGGGAATCGTCAACCCAACTCAAATCTAGCTGCTTCTTACTGTCTTTCTCTCCTTGAGGTGGAGGATGGCTGACGAGAGCTCATCTTCTCCCTTCCCTGTTTTATATCAGCAACACAGAAGAGACGACGGAAGATTCTGACCTGGAGATGGCTGTTTCCTCCCGTTGTTTTGTTGTTGTTGTTGTGAATTTGCGGCTTCAGCTCGTCCCTTTATTGTTCCTATGGAGTGTGGACACGCTGCGTTACTACCCCACCGGTGTTCCTGAGGTTTGATGTAGCTGGATAGATCTCTGTCGCTTGTCTGGACTGTTAATTCGTCGTTGCCGTGTTTGTGGGTTTATTGCGGAAATTTTCCATGACTGGTCGGTCGTCGCACAACGTGGACGATTTGGTGCGTGTGATCCCGGAGATTGCCGGGAGACGAAGTTTCTCGGGTTCTTCATCCGCATTAATTTCTTCTCTCTCTCTCTCTCTCTCTCTCTTCTCTCTCTGTCTCTCTCTCGCAATCCAATCTAGTTGAGAAAGAAAAAGAGTTTGGGTCCCGAGACGATTGCTCAGAGGAGCACGATTGTCATAGCATCTTTTCTTGGCAACTCGATCGGCTCTCTGTATGCGCCAGGCGCGTACATAACAACTCCATATATGATTCTATTGTGCGGGACGATGAACATAACGCTCTCAGGAAAGGTAGGTGGATACGCATCAAATGAATAATGCATCGCCGCTAATAACTTGGACAAAAGTAACATTTTCTCCGTCCCTATCTCATCTTCAATGACGATGGACGGATAGTCTCAAGAGGGGCCCATGCAAGAGCCACTCTAAGGGTAGGTGCGGCCTCAGAGTAAAGGTGTAATTATAACCAGTGAGACGGGTTAGTCAATGACATCAGCCATGACGATTAAGAACAGTGAAGATTACCGATCACTCATAACCCAATATTAGAAATCTAGCAAGTTGAACGAGAAGATAAAAATGCCCAACCCTCCTACACTTGTTGAGGTCGGATCCTCTCTAGCCCATGACGAATGTCCAACTCGCAGCCCGTCTTTAACGGGCCACGAGGAAGTCTGTTGAGGCCTAATGGGCCCCTTTCTTGTACGTGTTTACCAAATGCGGCGCACGAGTGCGGTTCTCATGGAGCGACTTCCTCGACTCGCCTCTCTGCGTATAGGAGATGAGGGGTATTGAGTGAGTGGGAAAGAATAGATCTGGAAACGCAGATCGTTTCCGATTGAGCCCAGCTCTTCCTGTCCGTCACCATGGAAACCGAGACGAGGAGCCCGATCGTCGGCGGAGGAGATGGACAAGAGGAGGTGACGGCGGCGTCGGCGCTTCGCCTCCTCCCCTTCGCCGGGGCCGCACAACAGCACTACGTCTCCGAGCTCCTCTCCTTTACCCTCGATCGCCTTCACAAGGTCACCCTACTTCCTCCCCGTCCTTCAATTTTGTGGCAGATCTGCTGAGGAGGTGTGGTCACGCAGGAGCCGGAGCTTTTGCGCGTCGATGCGGAGCGTATCCGGAGGCAGATGCAGGAGGTGGCCGTGGGAAACTACCGCGCTTTTATTGCCGCGGCGGATGCTGTCTCTGTCATCAAGGAACAACTCTCCGGCTTCGATAAACACCTTGATTCTTTGGTACGCCTTACTCATTCATCGTAAACCCTCCTTACGCTCTGATATACTTTGTGAATCTAGTTATTCATTTCTTTCCTGATGAATTGGCTGCTCCTAACATTTGGATTTTGAACTGTCTTTCGTTGAATCTAATTTTTCCTAGTCTTCTTGTTGCAATGTCTCGTCGACAACATTTGGGTTTCAATCTATCGGTTTATTTGAAGTAATCTTCATGGAGGGCTTAGAGGAAGAACATGACATTGGTTGTGACAAAATGGGTGTTGAAAATTATTAAATGTGATGTGATCTCATGAAATGATTGGATGAAAATATATGACCAACTCATCTGGGGACTGTTTGGCTGATGTTTTGAAGGAGTCTGGTTGAAGGCATAGGATTCAGCACAGAGTTTATTCCTATAAGCACGGCTTAAACTGATAAAATGAGGGAGGTTGTTGTTCCTTCTCTCCTATAAAGTTTGAGTGTGTCACTGCTTGTTCTATCACCGAGGCTTATATAGTGCTCCTCCTCTCTTTTATTTGGAAACTAGCCTTTTAATCTCTCACATCGTTTCACATCAATCTCTGCATTTGCATATTCATATTTGCCTCTATATGGACAAAAAACATTTTTTGAAGCTTTCTGCTTTTTGCCGGTTAACCAAGAGAAAGGGAAACATGTTTAAGGGGTGACTTCTAATTCATACCTAACGAAAAGGAAAAATGTTTGACTCCTTAGCTTTTCTCCATCATCTTTCATTTGTTGTTGTTTTAATAAAGTCTTTCTTCCTTTTGTACCTGACGTGATTTTTCTTCTTGTTTTATTAAATCTCATGAACATGGATCTTAACCGATTTTAGTATAGAGCTAGGTCGTCACCCGAAAGTGACGTGAGGCACCTTCACCACCTAGGTGTACCAAATTGGAAACAGTGGGCTAGGGGGTTCACCTGGAAGCGGCCCATCATGTTGGCGTTCAAATGTGGTGCCAAGTAGGCAAGAGTTCTCATTGTTTTAAACCAATAAGAGTAAAGAAGTTAGTCTAAAAACAGAGGGCTAGGTTAGTAGCTTGGAAGAAGGGATTATAATTGATAGACACTGTGCTTACAAAAAGAATAAATATTATTTGCTTGCAAGAGACTAAGTGCGTAGGAAAAAAATTAGAGAGATTGTGAGTACTGGATTTAAAATTTGGTATATTGAAAAAGTTAAACACAGAAAATAGTGTAGGAATTATCCTTGATAAGGCTCTTAAGAACAATGTTATTGATATAAAAAAAAATTGAAGATAGAATTATAATTCTAAAATTAATGAAAGGAAAAGATGTTTTGAATGTTATCAGTGCTTAGATGATCAAACCAAAAGAGAATTTTGGGAAAACTTAGATGATATCATTCAAGAAATGCCTATAATAAAAAAAACTTATAATTAGAGGGGATTTGAATGGTCATACAAGGAAAATATATGGTGAATATAAATGGGTGCATAGAGGCTATGGTTATGGGGAGTGAAATGAAGATGATAGTATGATTTTGGATATTACAACTTTGTATGATCTTATAATTGTAAATACTCACTTTAAGAAGAGAAGCGAACATTTGATTATTTATAAGAGTGGTTACGACTATAGTCAAATAAATTTTTTTTCTCACTAGAAAGGTGAATAAAGTTATTTGTAAGAATTGTAAAGTTATACATGGTGAAAGTTTGACGAATCAACATAGGCTGATGGTATTAGACATTTACTGTAGATTATGGAAGAAGAAAAAGATAGTAGAAAAATTTACAAGGACTAGATATAAAGAATCTAAAAAAGAGGCTAAAAAGTGATTAATATGACAAGATATAAAGCTTATGATAATTTTTATAATAAATTAGGTACTAAAGATAGTGAAAAAGATATATATCGAACTACTAAAGCTAGAAAAGAAAGTGTAAGGATTTAATTAATATTAGATGCATTAAAGATGAAGATTAAAGAATACTTATTAATGATAATGAGATCAAGGAAAGATGAAAAAATATTTTTATAAATTATTTAATAAATATTCCACATAGGACAGATTTAATGATAGATAATAGTAGTAGATTTAATAATCATATATTTGTTCGTAAAATTAGAGCTAGTGAACTAAAATACGCATTAAAGAAAATGAAAATAGCTACTAGTGTGAGGCTTGATAGTATCCCTATTGAGGTATGAAAAAGTTTAGTGGACAAGAGAGTAGCTTGGTTAGCTAGCTTATTAAACAAAATCATGAGATTCAGAAGGATGCCTGATGAATGGATAAAGAGTTTTTTAGTGTCAATTTATAAAGATAAGAGTGACATACAAAATTATTCAAATTATTATGGAATTAAAATTATGAGTCATATTATAAAATTTTGAAAAAGAATTATCGAAAGTAGTAAAGGCTTGAAATAAATATCTCTGAAAATTAATTTGGTTTTATGCCTGAAAGATCAACCATAGAAATTATTTATTTATTAAGATAATTAATGAAAAAGTATAGAAAAAAAGAAAGATTTGCATATGGTTATTAATTTATTGATTTAGAAAAAACCTATGATAGGATTTTTAAAGATTTATTATGGTGGGTTTTAGAAAAGAAAGATGTATCCATTAATTATATTGATGTTATCAAAGATATGTATGATAATGTAGCTACTAGTATTAGAACAATAGGGATTGTGTCTAGTGAGTTTCCTATTAGTATAGGATTATATCAAGGATCTGCATTAAGTCCATATCTTTTCACATTGATAATGAATGAACTTACTAGCCACTGACACGATAGACCTCCCTGGTGTATGTTATTTGCTGATGATATTGTCTTAGTTGATGAGAGCCTTAATGGAATTACTTATAAACTTGAGCTGCGAAGACAATAAACTAAAGGTTTTATATTAAATAGGACTAAAATTGAATATAGCAAATGTAATTTTAGTGATTCTAGGAATAGACAGGAGAATATAGTTAAGTTGGATTGGCAAGAAATCCCCTTAAGTAAAAGCTTTAGGTGTCTTGGATCAATTATTCAACAAGATGAGAAATCAATTAAAATATTATTTATAGAGTAAAAACAGGATGGTTAAAATGACGAGGGGTGTTAGGAGTCTTGTCTGATCACCGGATACCTTTGGGATTTGAAAAAAAATTTTATAAGACAATTGTGAGACCAACTATACTTTATGGATATGAGTATTGGGCAGTTAAGAAATAACATATACAAGAAGTTTGTGTTGTTGATATGAGAATGTTTTGATGGATGTGTGAAGTTGCTAAGAAAGATAGGAAAATAAATACTTTTAGTCGTGAACAACCATGTATTGTTTCAATAGAGGATACGAGGAGAGAAAATCGTTTAAGGTGGCATGAGCATGCGCTTAGAAGACATTCAAATTTGATGGTTAGAAGAGTTGAAATAATTAACGTTGGTGGTATGATGAGAGGTAGAGGAAGACCTAAAAATACATTAATAAAAATTATAAATAAAGATTTAAGTACTCTGAACTTAACTATACATATGGTTTTTTATAAATCACAGTGACGACAAAAGATCCATGTAGCTGACCCCAAATAGTTGGGATTTATGGTTTTGTTGCTGTTGTTTTGTCCTTATATCTTATTTTCTCTTTGCCATCGTTCTACTTTTAATTTTCAAATTTTGCTCTTTCTTCTTCCATCTTCTCTTTTACCTGCTTCTTATTCTGGCTTTTTTGGATAACAACTTAAACTCTGTACATTTCTTTTCCAGATTACTATTCAGCTGCATTGATAGTTTGATGTCACTGTTGTATGAGTTTTATAAAAACTTAATAGTGTGTTTGTCCTTTATATGTACTTGTAAGATTTTTGTTTGAACCAAAATATATTTCATTCTAAATAGCATTTATCATGGTGGGTTGACAGGTTTGAGTTATGATGTATTTACATTTATAGGATGTTAGAGAGATCTACACTGACTTTCTAGCTGCATGCTTATTGCAGATAACAGAGATACCAAGTCTCACTGCTGGTTGTACAGAGTTTATTGAATCTGCTCAGCAAATTTTGGAGGAAAGGAAGCTCAATCAGACATTGCTGGCCAATCACACTACTCTGCTTGATTTGCTTGAAATTCCTCAGCTAATGGATACGTATGTACTTTATTTTGTAAAATAAATTATACCTGTCAAATCTTATCTTAATGCCTGTACATGGATTCTGCTGCCATAGTTGTACTTATGGAAATTTTAATTAATTTAAATCATATTACATGCATCTTGATGCCAGCAATTTTAGATTTTAATTGTTGTAGATGTTCCATTAGACATTTTATATTTTTTTTATTGTGCTTACTTGCCATGTGGGACATGTTCCATGTACTTATTTCCTCTTTGTGAATTCTTTAGCTTTTCTTCAATTTCCTTTTGAACACAAGGCATTGCTAATTTTGACATTGTGGTTTCATGTACTTATTTTGTTGATTCATGAATAATTAGTTGTAACTTTGATAGATGAAAGAACTGTTTAATATTGCTCGGGAGAGCTATATATGTGTAGGTAGAAATGCAAAACAACTAATTTTACTGGTATAAATAGAGATAGAGAGACCTAAAAGATTTTATTAGAAACTATAAATACAGATTTAAATACTCTTAATGTAACTGAGAATATGATTTTTTTTAAAGATCCATGTAGTTGACCCAAATGTTTGGGATATTACAGCTTTGTTTTTGTTTTTTTCTAAAAGATTAATTATAAATTTTCATTACATTAAACAACGGATGCTCAAATATGGACTCGAAGTCGCTTGTCGCCTGTCAATGTGTATCTATGTAGGCTGTTCATTTTTCCTTGTGCAGGATGATCCTAATTCCAACATACAAACTAGATGGATTTACGTTATCATTATGTTAAATCTTGAAGTATCTTGGAAGTGATATCTTTGGTGGACAGCAGAATTTGATAATAATTGGATGTGTATTAGTGTTAGTTTGTAGTTTGTTCTTTGAGCCAAGAAATAAGCTAGTGCTTACTAAGGGTGTGCAAAGGAACTGATCCAACTGATTAACCAAACTGGACCTTACCAGTGCATCTGTTTTGGTTTGCTTCAATTACATTTTGTCTCATCAAATGCAGAGATGATATATCTGATTCTTACAGATGGAGCATATAATATTATTTATGATAATTAATATATGCAAGTTATAGTTATCATGAATTCTATCCTTATAGATGGAGCATATCTTCTGTAAACTATAATATTTATATCAAACAATATTCTACAAATACAATATGATTATAAAAAATGAATATAAAATGCCACAAAAACCAAACATATTTTGGTTAGATTCAGTTTATTTCCTTTACAGATCAATGCATCATGGTTAGTTCTGCATACTGAACTTGTTTAGTGTAATTCAAATTTCTTTTCAAAATTGAATTGATCTATATGCATTCCTACCAACCACATGTAGTGCTAATTCTGATCGTGGTCATTAGTTACCATTTCATGCACGTAGCGCCCTGTCTTCTGTACAATGCATGACATAATGTTGGACCAGTAATTTGATGTCCTTGTTTAACTCTTATTTATAATCAGTTCCTTGAACTATCTTCTGATATTGAAACATGTTTTAAAGTTGATGAATTGTTACCATTAGGTCTTTTGAGGTAACTTGAGATAGCATAATATTCATACTGGTATCCTTTCCCTTTATCTTTTTGGTCAATTTTCTGTTATGGTTGAAAGTTTGGTTATGTTGTGCATTATAATAATATCTTTGTCTTAAATTTATGAGCCTCTTTCCCTGGATATTATCATTTCACTGTCAAGTGGATCCAGGTAGATGCTAGTAACTTGTGAACATGTGTTCGTTCTTTGCAGATGTATAAGGAATGGTAATTATGATGAGGCTCTTGACCTAGAAGCTTTTGTCAACAAGCTGTCAAAAATGCATGCTGAGTAAGTTTTTTCTAGCGACTGAGTTTAGGTCTTGCTATTGTTTTATTTGGAAATAGTCCAACCAGTATTATTATTATCTATATATTCCATTATGATAGCTAGCATTTGATATTTGGAATCAAGGTTACCTGTCATTCAGGCATTGGCAGCAGAAGTCCGGAAGACAACACAATCTCTACTATCTCAACTTCTACAGAAACTTCGAACCAACATCCAGGTAGTTGTCTAAGTGTGTTAAAAGACCCGTAGTGGATTTTGTATACATCAGTATGTCAGTTATTTCCTTTTGGATATGTGAACTTGTGGTTTCCCTGAAATGGTCCATTTGATTTCACAAGATATATTTACCTGTGGTTACACTATGATATGCAGTTACCTGAATGCTTGCGCATTGTTGCACATCTGCGACGAATAGGAGTATTTACTGAATCTGAGTTACGTTTACAGGTTGGTCTACTGATGAACGGATTTGTATATTTTTCTTTTGGCTCAAGTAGAATAAATGGACCTTTTGTTAGCTAGAATAAACTACGTTTCTTTGAGCTCAGTAATCTTTGACATCTCAAATATATAATCTTATGTTAGTACATTTTTGCAAATGTATTTTAAATTGAGAGAACCTCCCAAATGTATATTAAATTGCAGATGTTGATGTGAACTTGTGAAGAAACATCTCATTCATTTGATTAATGTTCTACTCCTGACTATAACGTTTTGAAATGTTCATTGTAAAATACTTGGAATAAAACAAATTAACCAAGTTGGAAGACACTAATATGTGATTATATAATTTTGATGCCATATGAATGTTTGTTTCAAAGACTATTGTACCGTGCTAACTGGTGGTATTGGTCCATGGGGGGATCGGTTGGTAGTAGCGTACTGTATGTCGGTATATACCCTGTACGTCGCTACGTATCATTTTTTGGAAAAAGGTTGAAAAATGACTGAAAATTTATAAAATTTTCAAAAGGTTTTTTTAATCCTAATTTAATGGTAATTTTATTATATTTAATTAAGAATAGAGTGTATATGAGACAAGTAAATGCATAAGGCTGTGATTAACCCTAAGTACCCCTAGTTTGGGCCTAAATGCAAGATGATGGGCCTAATTGAGGTTAACACAAGAAAATGACCTTAATCATGTTTAATCTTTGTGAATATGCATTAATATGCTTCTAATTATATGAAATGATAGATAAAACATAGAAAGAAGTTTAATATTTTCAAATTGGGGAGAAATTCCATTAGATCCTGAGTTTAAATCACTTATTTATCCAAATCAATAGCTTGATTACCACTAATTGTCAATTAGGAACTTTAATCATAGGTGAATGTGAGAAAGAGTGAAAAAGAGGGTGAGAACGAGGGAGTGAATGAGAGCGAGTGAGAGTGAGTGAAAAAGAGGGGAAGGAGGAGATTTAAAGTCCCAAAAGAGACCCCAATGGTCAATTTGATAATTGGGTCAAACTTGACCCGATTTGGAATTTGATCGATATCAACCCATATCGTTTGATACAAATTAGTTTCAACCGTATTGGTCGATACATCACCCATGTCAGTCGATGCCTAACCCTTGTCAGTCGAAAAAGAGGGGAAGGAGGAGATTTAAAGTCCCAAAAGAGACCCCAATGGTCAATTTGATAATTGGGTCAAACTTGACCCGATTTGGAATTTGATCGATATCAACCCATATCGTTTGATACAAATTAGTTTCAACCGTATTGGTCGATACATCACCCATGTCAGTCGATGCCTAACCCTTGTCAAGCATACCACTCAAAATGGGCTGGTCTGCATATCGATCAGCTGGCGGACTAGTATGTATCATCCGTTCCATACCATTTTGAACGGTATGTCAAACATTGGTTTGTTTTGCTAATCTAGAACCTTAATCTTCTAAGAAATTCTAGCATTAAAAATATTTAGAAAAGGAATTTGTAGACAACTTTCTAGTATTAAAGAGGGTTTTCCATAATAATTTACATATTTTGATAAATTTCTGATGATAAGTTTCTAATTGATTGTTTAAATTGCTAATATAGCAAAATCTTAAAGAGCTTAGATGTTTATTCCATTTGGAAGTAATTTTTTGGGTGCTTCAAAATCTTCATGATTCTGCAATTTTGAGTTGAATCATGTGAAAGTATTTTATGGTAACTTTATTCTTGTGTATGATAATTATCAAATGAAAAATAGTTAATTAAATTTAGTTTTGTTAATCAATGTACAAAGAGTCTTACGCCTGCTTTTGGATTATCAGGACATGGAACCCGAAACCTTTTGGCCATAGATATATCTGTGCCTGTGTATGGTCCCTAGAGTATATTTAAATATAGTAATAGAAGACCATGAGAAGTATGCCATAAAAATGTAAACAAGCTTTTGTAAATATGGTCAATGAAGGTTTTCTCTGTTTTCTTAATATGTGCAAGTCCGTATTTTGGGCATTCTAGAGGTGGTACTTTGGTGTTTAATCAGATATAAGATAGAACTGCTTGCATTTGTCCAAACTTTTGATCCTTTGACCAATTGTTCTGACTAATCTTTCAAATTGCTTGATTAATTAATGAATATAGATATATAAATTTTGTTTAAGTGCTTTTTGATTGTCACGAGTTGTGCAGACTTTGTTATGCTTTGAACTAGTCTCACTCACTGGATCTGTTTTATAAACAGTTTTTGAGGTGTAGAGAGACATGGCTTTCAGGCATTCTTGATGACTTGGACCAGAGAAATGTCTATGAGTACTTGAAAGGAATGGTGAATTGCCACAGGATGCATCTATTTGATGTTGTTAACCAATACCGTGCTATATTCAACAATGATAAATCTGGGAGTGAGGAGAACTATGATGGTGGGCTTCTTTTCAGCTGGGCTATGCATCAAATAAAAAGTCACCTTAGCACACTCGAAGCCATGCTTCCAAAAATTACTGAAGGAGGTTCAATGTCGAATATTCTTGACCAATGCATGGTGAGAGATTGTTTCTTTTTGTCTTTTAGGTAAACTTTGATCAGCCAGAGATTAAGATACTTCACCTTATGACTATTCAGCACAACTCCTATTTTGGGTTACAATTTATTTTGGTATTGCTTTGGTGAACTTTATATTTTCTCTGTTGCTAGCATGTAGGATTTTCGGCTACTTGCCAATGTGCACTTGTCTGTGCTTAGAAAACATATTTTTCTCCCATTTAAATATTTAATTTTTGAGGTCCTTAGAAATTCATTTTCTGTCCATATCTTTTTGTAGTCAATCCTTTTTTATGGATTAACTTTTCTAATCCTTTGGCCTTTCAGTTTGATGTCTATGCTTATTTAATTACTAGACTACCAGTTTGTATAATTTTTTGAGGATTTTTGTACTTGATGCTATCTGTTGCATTTATTTTTCACATGCTCTATAATTTTCCTGTTGCATTACTACTACAATCATTTCTGACATTGTTAATGTATGATGCATAATTAAGGGTGTTGAATGCTCTTCGAAGCTGTACATAGCTTGTAGGCTATAACATACGTTTATTATACAAACATTGTTGCTATCTTCTTAGAGTTACATGCCTTCTCTAAACTACTTTGACAAATCTATTTTCCTGATTTCATTAATTTTGTTTTGTCATTTTTGTGAGTATCGGGATTAGTACGAGGCACTTTCTCCAGCTAGTTTTGTTTGCTGTGTTCAATTTAATGTTAATTTTCTGTTGCCTTCAGTACTGTGCAATGGGTCTTGGCTTGGTTGGACTTGATTTCAGAGGCTTGCTGCCTCCACTTTTTGAGGGGTAAATGAGCATCTTTATTTTGTTCTTTTAGACTGAATAATATTTGGTTGTATTGTCATCTTGTAACTAACAATCTTTCGTCAATTACAGTGCAGTTATCAACTTATTTTCAAAGAATATGAGAACTGCTGTTGAGAATTTCCAGGTATCCTTGCAATTAGTACATGTACAAACTTATGGTGATAGTTTATGACTACCTTTTTCAATCATTATTCAAAGAACTAATGCCTTATTTTATTCATACCTAATATGTTCAGAGTGAGCTTTTTTTGTCAAATTGGCCTTTGGCAACTGCTCGTACATAATTCGTTTTTACTACTTTGGCCTTTGTTATAAGTATGTATGACGTAGTTCTGAGAAACTCTATTGAATTACTTGGCTACGTGGATCCCTAGCACAATTAGACTCTTGTCATTCACAACACCTAGTTAGTGGAACATATTCTCTTTACTCGATAAACAATTTATTTACACAAGAACCTCAGTTTTCTCTATTTGGTGATGCTATCCGATAATGCTGAAAAATTTTACAGTCACTCGAGACCAATGCCTCCATTTAAAATGTTCTCCATCTGATGTTTAGTTGCCCTCAGTTAGAGATAGAATATCTCAGTAAAATTTCTTAGTACAAGCCAATCTGGTTCAGTGTCATTCATGATCTATGATCTATCCAATGAAGATCTCCGCATCCTATATCATAATGCTCTGCTGATGAAAGTATCATCTCCTTAAATGGTCATAATATTAGTTTCTAATAGAAACGCTATCATACCAAAAAGGTAATGTTAAATGTATTTGTACTTTTTGTTTGGTTAGATTGTCTTAGATTCACATCGTTGGGTTCCTTTGCCATCTGTTGGTTTTGCCACTAATGGAGCAATGGATGAAGGCAAGGATGATGTATCACCACCTTCAGTCCTGATGGAGCATCCACCTGTTGCTGTGTTTGTTAATGGTGAGTACAAATACTTGTTTACCACAAATTCTTCTTAGCATGCACTGGTCAGAATGATCAGGTTAATGCTACGATATATGTGAGGTGCAAATAAACTTTAAGCAATTGCAATTGTTCAGTTTTTCTATGTGCCTTTGCACCGGGATTGCTTACCGGGGGTTGGGGTTGCCATAGATGTAGCTCAATGGTGAACTCATTTAACCAACCAATAAGGAGAAAAAGATGCTTCTTAGCACTTTGCTTTTGCGATTGCAATCTTGCAGCTGATATGTTGCTATGCAGGTGTTTCAGCTGCTATGAATGAATTACGACCATGTGCTCCGGTGAGCTTGAAGTACAATCTGGCTCAGGAGGTTGTGAAGGGCCTACAAGCTGTTTCCGACTCCTTGGTGAGATACAATGCCATGCGAGTCCTCCGAAGAAATGAGTCTACCCTCTTTCTGTCACTGTGTCAAGCTTTCATCGAGGTCAGCTGAATTGAATTTATTCTGCTTCATGCTGTTTTCATGAAGTGACACTATTGTATGACTAGCTTGTGGTGTTGATAGGTAGCTTACCCGTATTGTGCAACTTGCTTTGGCCGATGCTATCCAAATGGAGCAACCTTGATCATGGAACACAGAGGCATGTTGGATGGTGTCAGCCAGTTATTAGCAGCGGTCCCACCGATGAAAGGATCAAGAAATTCTTTGGACAGCAAGGAAGAGAAGCATCCAACAGATGGCGGTGGTGCTACAATGGCCGAGAATGGGGCTTCGGTTAATGATGAAGAACCAGGGAGTGATAATCGTACTGATGATAAAAGCAGCACTGGCATAGTGCCAACAGATATGGATATGGATGACAAATAAAGTCCGACAAATGCTCCATCAGCATGGTTGTCGTGATTAAATGGCATTTTGCCCAAGTTTTACTTGGCAGCAGCTACCATTATATTGTATCAGTACAAGTTGTCTACACATGGTGGTTGACGAGGGTGAGTTTTAACTTTGTGTTTTGAGGCTATATCGACACCAAGTACGACTGCCATTCTTCCGTGTAGTGCTCGCGTACTCTGGAGGAGGAGAATAAAGATCATTTGCGGGTGTGTTTCTGTCGATGTGGTATGTTCCTCAGCCCCTGATCAAGTAACATCATAACAGTCCTGACAAATTTTTAGGGTCGTTATGATCTCTCACACGACGTGGTGTCCGTACGCATCGTGTTCGACCGACATAGGCATTGGGTAAAGGTGCGATGCCTCGGACGCCATCGCCAACGGAATTCTCTGTGCCTCCGATCACAAGTGCTCGCCGCTGTTCTGATGAAACCCTCGAGGTACCTCTAATTCGTTCCTTGATACAGGATGCTTCGAGAACCCAAACTATGTGTTCTTACTATATTTTCATATCCCCTCACGAGTCTCTCCAATAAAATTCATCTTAACTATCCGTTCTAACTATATCTTCACATCTCCTCACGGGTCGCTCCAATAAAATTCATATGGCAGCTCGGCTTTGACTTCTTCGTATGTGTCCAAATGTAATATTCTTTTAGTTAGTTACGTGTCGGGAACAATTTTAGAGGCATACATAAAAAAAAAATGAAATAAATGTAAATGAGGAATCAACACCATCCGTCTATGGACATTATTTGTCGATGGTTCAACCACCTTCGACAAAGACAGTGTCGGCATTATCTTAAAGGATCCAGATCAACGGATATACGAGCAAGCCCTCATATTCGAATTTAAGATATCTAATAATGAGATCGAATATGAAGCACTCATCTCGGAATTTTAGCTCGTACATGAACTCCGTTCAAGACCTAACGGTGTTTAGTGACTCACAACTAGTCGTAAGCTAGGTGGGATGAAGCTATGAAGCCAGAGATACAATTATGGCAAAATACCCCGTCGAGATACAAATATTAGCTCAAAACCTTTTCCAACTCCAGGTGTTCCAAATACCATGTGAGAAGAATATTGAGGTAGATGCACTCGCCCAATTAGCATCCACTCATCGTGTTGAGCTTCTTAATGCACTCCCGAGCCATCAAGAAGCTCGATACGGTTATAGTTGAAGAGGAATTGAGCTAGATGAATGAGATCCTATGTTACAAGAAAGACGAGATTCTCCCAACCGACTCCATAGTGACTCGAAGAGTTAAGCACCACCAAGCCTAGTATTGTCTAATTAAAGGTTGACTATATCGTAGGTTTTTCAATCAATTGCTCCTTATATGTTTAAGCCCTCACGAGACCAAGAGGGTACTTGCTGAGGTTCATAAGGGTATTTATGGAGAACGCATTGGTGAACGTACCCTTGCCTTTAAGGTGCTTCAGCAAAGGTACTAATGGCTAACACTACGCAAGGATGCAATCGAGTATGCCCAAAAGTGTTGCAGGTGTTAGGAATTCATTCAGGTACCATGACAATCAACAATCCCCTTGAGCCCGATCGATTGTGGGTGGTCATTTGCCCAATGAGGTATGAATCTTCTTGGGCCCTTCACACCTACTTTGGGTCAGTAAAGGTTTCTCATTATAAGGATCGATTACTTCACAAAATGGGTGGAAGACAAGCCGCTAGCATCAATAACCGATAGATAGGCTGAGTGATTTGTATAGAAGAATATCATCACCTACTTCAGGATACTGAAGGTCCTTATCATATATAACGAGACTTAGCTCAACAACCCAAAATTCAGAGAGTTCTGTCAATACTATGAAATCCAACTAAGGTTCAGTGGTGGCTTACCCTCAAACTAATGATTTGTCGAAGTCATCAACTAAGCTATCCTTGAAGGTCTCAAAAGACGAGCAAGGGCATATGGGTAGATAAGTTGTCGAGCATCCTATGAGCCTCCCGAACGACACCAAAGATAGGGTCGGGAGAATCATGCTTAAGTCTAGCATATGGCACTGAGGCCATCCTACCACCTAAGGTAATTTTTCCAAAACTCCATATCGAAAACTTAGATAAGAAAACCTCAAAAACAGGGCTTTCAGCTGGGCTTGATTTAATCGATAAGACCAGAGCAGCTGCATACTTATGAATTCTAAGATATAAGAAGGCAATGACCAAGCTCTATGACAGAGGTATTTGCCCTTGGAAAATTCAATTATGAGATTTAGTACTATGCAAGGTTGAAATAAGTGACCTAACCCGATCTCAAGGAAAGCTAGCACCGAGTTAGGAAGGACCATATTGAGTCATTGAAGTCGTCTAAGATAGAACTTATTGTTTGGGAACAATATAAGTGGGACATTACCAAGAACATAACATATCTCCAACCTAAATAAGTTTTATCATCGAGGCTCATAAGGGGTTTAATCGAGGTACATTTTTAGTTCACAAAAAGTATCTTTTTTATTTCTCCAAAAGAAAGCTACAGTAGATGGATTGGGTCTTCACAAACAAATTTAGATGCTGAACTACAAAAAAGCAAAAGAAAATTGCAACAGATCATATGCCCGAGCAAGGCGACGAGTCGAGGTTGTCATTGAAAGCTAACTACTTTCCATCTGGATGCCCTAGTCCTTGGGATTATCAGTAAATGGGTCCTCCTTAAGCTCTATTCCTGGATATTGCACCTTGAAACGAACTAAGGTGATCAAAGACCCAAACTTATATAAAGAGAAGTCAAATCTTTCCAACCCTTTTTAAAATCCGATGGATGCTTTGTACTTAGTGATCGCCTCCTATTGATTCCTTGGCACCTTGCCCCGTTCAACCTTCAGCATCTCCCCGAGCTCCCGAGCTTGCTCTTTCGCTATGCCACCCTTCTTCTCAAGCTCTGAGTTAAGTGTCTTTACCAAGTCCAGCTCTTAGAGGAGCCCCAACAACTCCTCCCCCAGGTTACTTCCTCAAATGCTTTCCAACTATTAGCTAGGGCAATAAGCTCTTGTTCAGTCTCCTTCAACTTTTAAACCAATTTGTCACCCCGAGCTCTCGCCTCAGTAAGAACGACGATAGGAGGATTAGCTCCTGCCTTCCTCAACCTCTGCTGGAAGGTCGACATTCTTATGAGCTTGTTGGTTGATGACAACACCGACATCCCAAACCTGGTCCAATAAGGCTGACATATAATGATAGTGCAACAAACATGTCATGACCTATCTTACTAGTACTTCATGGTGATAACCCTGATCAAGCAGCACCTCAGAAAAAGAGAGATAAATCTATTTTGCTAGACCCAAACAAAGAGATCATTGATAGTACTACTTCGAGGCTTTGTTTTCATCCCAAACCTTTTGTCCTTCCTGCAGGCCTCCCCATCTTGGTTGTAGTAGAGAACCCAAAGTTAAAACGGACAGGTCGACTATTGTCGAAGTAACGAAATGCTGGGATTTCCCCTTGCATAGGTCAACCATTGACCTTGGCCCCTCTTCTCCTTAGCCCAAGAGAGACCAGGGGCCCTTAGGACTCTCCACAGGTTTCGGCACTAGCAAAACAAGACTCTTCATAGGCTCCGACACTGCCAAAACATGAATCTCTATAGGCTTTGGTGTTGACAAAATAGAGCTTTAGCTAACGATGGACTTCTCGGACCTCCTCCTTAGAAGATGAGGGGCCATTTTCACGACTATTTTATACCTCTTCTTTGGCCAGACGATGCTCACATCTTGGCCTGGTTGGGTCGAACCCACCTCCTTAGGTAGCACCTCACGGACAGGAGTTGGGACTATCGAGGTCGCAATTGCGCCAAAAGAGGAGCCACACCCTTGTTTCTTCAAGGAATGCAAGTTCATGCTTATTAAAAAAAAATTGATGTTATGAAACTACAGAAAATCAAAAGTACGCAACGACAAAAGGGACCGAGACATATCTCAAAAAGTCAGACTGAGACACATCAACAAGCTAATCCTCATCCATCTTTCGTATTGACTTCGAACAAAGAAATAATATCCCTCAATCGAAACACCTGGTCTACTTCCTCGTCCAACAATAGGGGAGAGATATTATCAAAGGAATGAGCCGACCCCAATTCCGACCTAGATTTACAAAGAAAAAAAAAGCTCCTTAACAATATTTTTACCGAACATATCCCAACACTTTTCAAAATGATAAAGGAATCTAACGCATGAACATTTGAACGCCATGTTACCGATAATCGAATACCGATTAACTGTCACATAACGTCTAAGAATCTCACATCAACTTTCCTCGTAGACCACTTTGATATAATTCTCAACCTTATATTTGAATCTTATGAGCACTAATTTAAGTAACAAAGTAGCTTTTGCCGGTAAAACCCAACACATCTGACATAATTTTGCAAGATCTAACTGAATGAAACTATTTTATGACACCCAACTTCCAATGAATTTTAGTTGAAGAACTTTGATTTCAACTAAGATTGAGACCAATTCCCATCATCCGATAGATACAGACGAAATCAGAGGTCGAAAGGTGTTCGACCATCTTGTCATAAAGCTATGGATCGTCTCAGTAAGAACAATACTACATTAATTCTACAAAATGGCAACCAAATATAAGATTTTATACACTAAAAACCACAGAGACGGAACACAACACAAAGTAACTTTCCTCTGATTTAGACACTATCAACACAATTTCAGAAATCAGGTAAAGTTGACAGTAAATAAATAGCCTATTGCAAGATCATCACCATATGGCAAAATTTTGTCACAGTAAAACATCTTCATGAAAGTTAGCCAAAACCTGACATATTATCAGTCCACAAAGGAACAGATGCTTCTTACTGAAGTATAAATATTGTTAACATCATCAGCAAGAGCCTTCTTAACAGTTCATACAAAACCAACACAACCAATTTGAACAGCCAGAACAGATGTAATTCAAGGGCCTAGTTAGATTGCCATGCAACAATGCCATTTTCCTCACCTTACCTATGCAATCTCAATCGGCTAGCACCAACAGAACGAGGGTTAGATAGGGCAAGAGAGACATAATTATCTTAGGTGGCTTTTGTCAGCACCATGCCAGATTCACTCGCTGCAGCCAAAGGGTTCACTTGTAGAGAAAGAGATAACCAGAGAGTAGATGAGAAACTATAGACATGGTTGAAAACAAAACACCCTAGACTGGTATATACCTGACAAGTAAATAACAGCCCGACGGAGAACCGGGTTGCAGGTCAGCCCCCATTTTGGATAGTCTCCGTTCAAGGGATACCACTCGGTAACCCTCCAAAGTTATGGCACCTTTCTTTTTTTTTTATTTGACATCAACCTACAGCTATGAATCCCTACCTATCTCTCTCATCTTCTCTTTCTCAAATCAAGATTCCTTTGATTTAAAAGATTGTCAAGAGGCAGAAACTTGGAGAAGTTTCAAAGTAAGTGTCAATTCTTTCTAGATAATCTTCAACAGCAATACAAAAAATAAAAAATAAAAATTTCTACACATGAGATCAAGTACTTAAAAATTCAAAGCTGCTAGGCAGAGATCATCCGCATATAATGCTAACCTACTTTATTAAATACAAGGTGCTACTGTTACTGTCATAATTCAGGAACTACTCTTGGAAACATCATCTACAATATTCACTCAAAAGGCATCCAAACCAATATAAATTTTCATAAGCATAAGCATATGCACCTTGTCAAACATTTCTACTCTGGGTACCTCGGAACTATCACTGAAGATCCCAGAACCCGTTTTACTTCTCTTATGTCTTTATAAGTCTCATATGCATTAACAAGGTAAGCCATTTTGTATAGCAATTATCATCTAGGATAAATGTATCCCGACGAATGCTCACCACAGATATCCTACATGGATGTGGCTGAAGAGTCAACTATGAACTAGACTTTTGCAGCTGCAGTTGCAAAATGCAAAAGATGTACTTAAAGCAAGCTAGATAAACGAAGGAACCATAATGATCCTGGAGGTAGAACTTGATCACTCATCTTTTAATGTATAACAAGTTAAATTTGTTCAAGTACTCTGTAGATCTCTTGCATGGAAAGATTTCAGGTTCTAATGCCAAACTAAAATGACCCTGCAGGTAGAGCTTGATCTTTTTCTTTTGTTATAGAGCAGGCTCCTTTATCTGAGTACTCTGTTCTACTAAAGCCATATTCAGGTCTCCTGCTTGGAGAGGTTTAAGGTTCCTCATGCCAACTCTTTAAACACCACAGCATTTTGACCAACCAAACAAATAGGTTTCGTGATTTGGATTTCGGATTTAAGATAAGAGGTCCAAATGATATAACTCAACTAATGTAATCAGTTTGGAACACTTGAGATACAGCAACAAAAATCATTAGATGGTTAGAGGTCCAAATGACATCAGCTCTTGGCATGTCTAATTTTGCAAGCAAAGGAAGACCACAACTCCATAAAAACACACAAAATAGTAGCTGACAAAATTTCGAATGGTATTTTATACTACCAACCAAGTGACAGTTCTCGAACTCCATATCTCCAATCATTCATCTTCCTAATGATGCTTTTTATAAAGCTGTAAAAAAAAAAAAAGCCAAGTTGCCAAAGGTTCATGTTAGGACCCAGAAATCAGGAAGATGCTTTTCTCATTGAAAGTCATAGAGAAGTATCACCTTGATATGCTGTATAAAAATGTGGCTTAGTGCACAATGCTCCCATTAAAGTGATATCTAGGGAGGGTCATTGCATGCTGTATCTAACTCCTACAAATAGATAAGCTGATTCTGTGGCTGGAATACTTGACACCTGAGTAGAACATATGTAAAAATACCATGGAACCGAGGCTCATCCTTAGTCCAGACTTCTTACTGTTGTTGGTTAAGTGAACAACCTCCGAACATATAGTTTATGCATTTTTTAGCTAAAATAAAACTCAAAACACAACAAGCTTGACATTTGCCCAATGCGTGCAGATCATGTACAATTCTGATATATTTGATGCCTAAACCAAAGAAAGAAAACATAAGCTCATAATTTGATGAGTGATGGAAAGTTTGCTGTCTTCCAATATCATACACCATTTCTAATTGAACAAGATAAACAAAAGATGTCTTCCAGCATGAATTTTACAGTAAACTCACTTTGTCAATGTCATAAACAATTTGCAAGAACACAATATTTTTCACAAGGTTATCGCTGAAATGGAAACAGAATTGAATATCTTGTGACCACCATTACCCACTTGAAACAAAAAAACAAGCAAAGTTAAGAATGGCATTGATGCATAACATCAAAGAATTCCCTATCAACCTGAACTTTTCTAGTAACTAAGACAACAGCAAAGCTGCAACAGGGTCACTGTTTTCTACCTCTCCAAACAGACTCTACGCTAACCTAATTAAGTACTCAAACCTTACAGTCATTAGGAACGACCAACCTTGCTTTACAGTCCTACCAACCAAAAAGCCCAATCAGTTTTATTCTGCATGGTTCCATAAATGACAACAAACAAAAGAATTTCAATTTTGTAAAGAAACTAAAAGAAAGCTGTGCCGGCAAGGCCATGATGTAGCAAATTATGAGCAATATTGTCCCTGGCCTGTGATGCACTCACCGACCGTATGCTGTTCTCAGGCACCATCTCATCGTCCACCAGTTCGTACTTGAGATCCGGCTCCATCTCCTCCTTCCTTAGCTCACAGATGTTATGCAGCACACAGCAAGCGCCAATAACCACAGGCAAATCCTGCAGTTTTACTTCTGTTCGCTTCTGTAAACAAGTCCACCGCCCCTTCAACCTTGCGAATGCCTCCCGAGCGATCCGCTGAACCTCCCCGATCTTTTCATTGAAGGCATGCTGCGTCCACGTCAAGTTTTGGTGGGTGTACGGCACCAGCACCCAATCCATAAGAGGATAGCCCGAGCTCCCCACGATCCAAGTGTTCTTGAGCATCCCGGCAGCTGCCCTCTGGTGCAGAGCCGATTGCTCGAGCACCTTGTCGTCAGGCATCGATCCGGGCCACCCGATGCAGACGTCCGTGAACACACCGTCGGGGTTGACCACCCCTTGGACGGTGATGGAATAAGATGTCTTTTGATTGCGCTCTGTGTGACGGCGGTTGAAGTAGGCGGCGACACTTATTTTGGGCGCGATGATAGGTATGTGGGTGGTATACATGGACCCGATGACATTGGGGATTCCCGACGCGGCCTCGAAGTGGGATTTTGCTTCGGCAGCGGCGGCCCCGTCGGGCCACTGGACGAACTTTGGCATGAGAAGGGTCTTGATCGCGGTGCAGACCTCGAGGACGAGCTTGTGGCAAGTGGAGATGCCGAGCCCGAACCGCTTCGAGACGAGCCGGAGCGGCTCGCCGGTGGCCAACCTCCAGATGCACACCGCCACTCGCTGGCGGACGGGGATAGCGGCACGGAGCATCGTGTCCTCCTTCGCTACTGCCGACCCAAGTTCATCGCAGATCAAATCGAACGTGGCGCGGCCCATCCGAAACGCTCGTCGGAACTCCGCCTCGGGGAAATCCGGGCTGTTGCATTGGTCCCACCACGCTCGCGACCGGTCCTTCACCCAAAGCCGCCTCTGCTGGTGGCCGCTTCCGGCGGCGGAAGTGGCAGGGCCAGCGTCGTTCTCGACGGAAGCGGAGGCCGCCGCCGCTGCAGCGGCGACCGCAGAGGCGGCTACTCGGACGCGCTTGGAGCGGAGGGTGTCAGCGTCATCGTCGAGGGCGGAGAAGTTGTCCTCGAGGCGGGAGTAGTAGTCGAGCATGACCTCAGCCTTCCGGTGGTGGTTCTCCTCGAGAAGTGAGAGCTCGCGGCGAGAGTCTTCGTCGGACTCGCGCCGCTCGGACTCATCCTGGGCGTCGATCGCCGCGATGGAGGTCAGCAGATTGGCGATCGATTTCCGCTTCTTCCTCCTCTCATCACCGGAGGCGGATGCGCCGGCTTCTCGTCTACGGCGACCCTTGGGCATGTCGGAGATCGACGTCGGAGGCGAAGCGGGTGGTGCGGCGGAGTCGTCCTGAAAAAAGGAGATGTAAAAGGAGAAGTCGTCTTCGAGGAGGGGTTGGGTGGTGGCGGCTGCCGGAAAACTATTCATATATGGAAGATATTCCTATCTTTCTATTGATCTATTGCGGCGGTTGGTGGCGTCGTTTGGAGAAGCAAGAAAAAAAAAGGGTCGGATGACGAAAGGGGCGGACTCGAAAGAGGAAAAAAGGCGGAGGCGCAGACCAGATGTGAACGGTGGACGGGGATAAGAGGAGCGGTGGGCGGTTATATAGGTTGCGGGGAAAGGTGCGTGTGAACGCGGTTTTGGGAGCTTTCCGACGAAGGCAGCCATGGAGGCTTCTAGTAGACCGTGGCTCACGCGGCGGGGGGCGGTGAGCGGATCAGGATAAAGTCGAGGGGTGGTGCGAAGCGAGACAAGTTTAGGGGTGCGTGGGGGTGACGTCGGTGTGATGCATTCGTTGTGGAGTACGTTAGCATAAGGGGATAGCGAGAGCTCATGTGATCTGGAGTCGGAGTTCCGTGTTGGTGTGCTACGCGGACCGACCTTTTGAGGTGGATCATAAAATAGAAACAAGGTCGAAGGGGCATGTGGTCGAAGCCTGGATTGGTGGCGATCAATAATAAGAGGAAGGTGAGGTCGGCAAGAATCGGATCGTGGGGGGTGGGTCTGAGGAACCGAGGATATATCACATGGTGGCTGGTGGTCTCCTGTTAGCGGAAAACGGACGGCTTTTATTGGACGACGATAGATCGGTTGGTGGTGCGTGGTTTCAACAAATACAGCCGTGTGTTATGAAAGCCAAATGGAAGCCAATTTAATGGGTGATGACTTGGGAAGTATTTGGCATGTGCGAATCAGCAAGGAAATAATATTGTGTTTATAGAATATATTAAAATTTCTAGGCTGGCTTTATTTTGCTTCCTCAAACTGATTCTGATTTGTATTGCATGCAGATGAGAATTCCGCCCTCCGCGTTGCAAGGAATCGTTTGGATCCAATCTGATTTCACAGGTCCGGCCTTTTCTTATGATCCGCGTTATATTCTTAAGATCCGGCCTTTTATTGTGCCCCGCGAAGTAGTAAGCACCGACGGATGGATGAACAGACCGCCGAATCAAAAGCTGATGGATCCCTTCCACAGTCAACGACACAAGTCACGGACCTGAGAGTCGTTAGACATGGCAGTGAGATACAAGAGGCGGTGGGACAGGTCGGATGCGACTGCCGATGAACACGTCGATGAAAGGGCGGACCGAAAGACACAGCCATACCGCGACGGACGCGTGGCGACCGGCACGTCGGTACGCACCGTCGACCCGGCGTCTCCCGCTGCGGTTTCCGTTTCTCTCTTCCTTTCTCTTCTTATCGCATCGGGACGCGTGTCAGGCCTCCGGGGGCAAGGTGTAAGCTAGCTGCCAACGCTCCAAAAAAGAACCTCTTCCTATCCTTTAATGGCGTACCCGTCTGCCGAGTCCTTCTAATTACCGACGAGCCTGCGTGTGGGTCCCGGTAATTCCTCCAATCCCAAGAATGGGCAGGGATGCTGGTAGGAAAGCATGGAGATAATGATTAGGTCCGGTACTTCTCGTGCAATAAAAGAATGTTTTAAGCCACGTGCCAATAAGCCGACCACGTGTTCGGTGCCTACCGGGGCTAGCTTCGATTGGAGACGGATGAAATCATGGGGCGACGATGATTACCTCGGCCATCCAACGGTACAGATCACGTGGCTGACGGTGATCCGGAAGAGGGATGGGTGCGTCGAAAAGAGTCCGGCTCCGTGGACTTCGTATTTCTAGGGCTATTTTCGTGATATAAAATCTTCCCCTTACCTCTAATGGCAACGAGATCGCAAAAGTAGGACAGATCTGCTGCTCTAGGGAGACCCAGAGATTCTTCTTTTCTAGGAAGGACCCCAGTCATAGGACCAATGGAAGGGAAGAAACCATTTCGTCCCGGAAGAACATGAGTCAGAGGACCAATCGAAGGGAAGAACTATCGTGGTTGCTGGACGGACATGCAATAGGTGATCCGTGGATTATTATGATGGCCTCGCACGACCGACACCTGTCCGTGGTGATCGTCTCCATCCCACCTCCCCATCTTTCCATCAGCCTCCACCAAAATCAACAAGGGTGGGAGAGCACACAAAACAGATCCCTTGCTTTTGGTACTCGGGAAAATTCCTCTTCTCCTTCTTCCTCCTCGTCTCTCAACTTCTTTCGGGGTGGACGTTGCTTTCTTCCTTCTTCTACTTCTCTCCTCCCTCTCGAATAAAAAGTTAATCTGAAGGTGTCAACAAACACGCGCTCGGATCTCTCACTATATTTGTCGTCGAAGAAGGAGCTGGTGAGAAGCAACAGGTTGGATTTTCTTCTCCGCTCTTCTCTCTTCTTTTTTCTACGTCCCCATGGATGTCATCATTCACTGCTCCTGTCTAGTATGGTGACAAGTGATGGATTGAGTCATGCGTAGCTCTTAATGGAGGAAGCGACGGGTGCCCGCAGCCGCAGGTAACTCAGATCAGAAATGGTGCTGGGATTCGCTTTGATTCTTCTTCTTTTTTTCTGGGGTCATTCCCTCCACCTCACCCCTCTTTGCTTTTTCTAGGGATAAAAAGGTTGCAATTTTGCGCAACAAATTTGGTGCGGTTGTTACGCGCATGTGATTATTGCTGACTCTCCTCTTCTCTTCTTTTACCCTTCTTCTTCCTTCTGGTGTCAATGGAGTGCCCTGTATGAAGGGGAATCGCCGGCTCTGGTCCAGTTCCCCGTCTTTCTCTCATCCGAGACCCTGGAATTTTGCTTTCCTTAAGAGGTCAAGCCTTAGATCTGGGATCAGTAGTTGCATCCCGTTGTCAGATCTTTTCGCGATGCGGCACGGCGAACCCGTGAGATGCGGCCGGAGGCGACTTCGAGCGTGATCCACAGGCGGGGTAGGGCATTCGTTAGAAGTCAGTAGGATGTGTCACTTTTGAGCCCAGCGTATAATAACTTCTGACCGCCACGACGGCCCAGGACAAGGAGTTAATGGAGGAGATGCCTCCGGCGGTGGCTTTATCATTTAGGACGGCCAATTCGACCTGTGACAACTCGATGGAGATTGCCTGCCTGAAGCTGATTACCGAGACTGCAGGCCTGCTGCCCAATCCAATGGATGCTGCTTCCACGGGTTTGTCACCTGAGCTCGAGCAATCTGAGGTGGTGGCCATGGAAGAGGGAGGGGATGGGGATGATCTGGACGTCCGCAGAGCGGTGGGTAGTTTCCATGAGGATTTGGTCTCCATGGAGCGCAAATTTTTGGGAGGAATCGCTTGTTCAGCCGCTACTAGTATCGGCGGCAGCAGCAGGAGTATCAACAGCACGGCCGACGAGTTGCTGGATATGGATCTGCCATCCGAGACATGCACACCAACTGCCCTTGAGGTGGAGAAGAGTGGTGAGATCTTAAACGGGCGTCCTGCTTTTGAGTTCGGTGTTAATGCACTGACAGTAAGCATGGTCGATTCTGATTTTATAATACCAGTAACGCCCATTGTTGAGCTTGCAACTCAGGAAGATCAGCAAAGTCAGGCAAGCAGCAGCAGCAGCAAGCGAAGTGTGTTCTTGGTGGATTACTTACCCTTTTGGGGGCAAGTGTCAATTTGTGGACGAAGGCCAGAGATGGAAGATGCTGTTGTGGCAGTGCCTTATTTTTATGAAATCCCCTTGTGGTTGCTCATCGGTAATCAAGACATAGATGGCCTTGATTCGAGCTTGATTCGCTTGCCAGCCCATTTCTTTGGCGTCTATGATGGCCATGGTGGTTCCCAGGTGCAAAACTTTTTAGCTATCATTCCTAATCATCTGTTGCTATGTTAGGCTACAGTTATAAAGCTTTGCTGGTGGCTCTTTCATGCTGCAGGTCGCTGATTATTGTCGTGAGCGAATCCACCATGTGTTAATAGAGCAGTTAAGGAATTGTGCTAGAGATCTGAGGAGCAATACTTGTGATGATTGGAAGAAGCAGTGGGAGAGAGCCTTCATTAACTGCTTTCAACAGGTTGATGATGAGGTTGGTGGAAAAGTAACTGAAGGGAATTTGGGAAGCTCAGATGATAAATCCAAGGACGAAAATTTTTCTGATGCACCATTAACACCTATAGCTCCAGAGACAGTGGGATCTACAGCAGTAGTTGCTGTTATCTGTTCATCACACATCATCATTGCAAACTGTGGGGACTCAAGGGCTGTTCTTTGCCGTGGCAAACAACCTGTGCCTCTGTCAGTTGATCATAAAGTGAGGCTTGTATATTTTGCTTTTATTTTGTGTGTGTATCTCTTTGTTTCAATTGAAAATTTGTGATCTCAACCAAGGGAAAACTCTTCTTGTATATCAGCCAAACAGGGAAGATGAGTATGCAAGAATTGAGGCACAGGGAGGCAAGGTCATACATTGGAATGGATATCGTGTATTCGGTGTTCTTGCCATGTCACGGTCAATTGGTGCGTACCCTTTCCTCTAGGACAATGTCATCAAGGATATCAAAGTTGCTTACAGAAAAACAGATATATTTATATATTACTAATCCTTTTTTTGAGCAAAATTTTGGTAGTCATATTTGTCAATTATGCATAACATAAACTAGTAACCATATAGTTAAATTTCGCTCTGAGAAAATGGCCTTCTATATTACAAATTTACAATAGCATGAAAATGAGAAAAATACAATGGATCTGTTGCTCAATACTTTGTATGATAAATTACCATCATTATACACTATTTATGGTGGTTTCCAGAAAATGAGATGGTTATCTTGTCAACTTTTAGGAAAATGATCGATAGACAATTTTCTGCATGGAGCAAGAAGTTATAGGGCAGACAAAATATATCTTCATCTTTTAATGAGGAGACCATACCTTGAGAAATTGCTGGCCTACAGAGTATAATGGGATTTCACAGAGAGATGACTCCTATGGTGAATTCTAGAAAATAGAGAGAAGACTCCTGTTGTGACTGCTAGAAAATAGATCCGTGTGTTTTTTTCTGTTTACATTCAAGCAAGATGTTAGGTGTAAATTTTCCATTCTGATTATACAAATTACATGATAGTTGCAAGAATTAGGTATGACTTATCTATGCATTTCTGTCTTTTGAGGCCTTATCTGATCTTAAAACAAAAGACTTTGTCTTGCTGTAAACAAGCTCTGGATCACAAAAAAAGAATGTTGGATAAAAGCTGAAAGAGAACCTTTCATGCTGTTAGCCTGTAACAGA